AGACCCAGGATGGACGTAGGCTAGAATCTTCCCGGTAAGGGCACCTTGGGGTGCTTACACACATTATTAGAAATGGGCTAAATTAATATGTGAGAATTAGCCTAGAAGAGGCTAGATAGAAATGGGCCAAGCAGTTTTGAAAAGAATACAATTTGTGTGTTGTTATTTCGGGCATGAGCTAGCAGGCGGCGGGGTGCTGGGGACACAGCCCCGCCGCCGCTCTTATTTCAACAACCTGTGGCTTCAGAAATAATAGTCTCCAACCTGCACTAAGTTTGACAGGTGAAATTGGGGATGCTGTTTTGAGTTACTGGAATGAGGCAAGCCTTGAAGATTTTTCTAATCATGCAAAAACTTGGACCAAAGCTACCAACCTCAGTCTGGAGAGATGGCTCAGCAGTTAAGAGCACATGCTGCTCTTCCAGAGGACCCCGGTGTGGTTCCTAGCAGCCACATCAGGCGGAACATAACTGTAACTTTAGCTCCAGGGGATCCGTCACATCCGGTCTCCACAGGCCCTGGCGCCCATGTGTACACGCAGACTTACACACGTAGTTAGTTACAAACCATAAAAATAAACCTCAACAACTATAAAAAGCAACCAAACAACCAAAAAAAGAACAACAAACAAAGGCTGAGCCACCTGGAAACATTTCTAGAGATCCACAGTGCTGTCACAGCAAAAAGGACTTGAGTGACCTCACAATTACCTTTCTCAATGTGACATAAACCTAGTTTTTCCACAAAAAGTTTCAGTCATTTTGAGAGACTTTAATTAGAATCTGGGAAGTAAAAATAGGCCACAGTATAAGATTCCCTGGTTCTTGCCTCACAGTTTAAATGCTTCCAGTTTTTAACATGTTTTGAATAAATTATTTTCAGAGAGACTGAAGGATTTCCAGGAAATGTAAAAAGGAGTCCTGAAAGAGTCGGTAAAGGAATGAGACACTTCTGAGAGGTGGGTGGGATCATTCCTGTGCCCTGGTTGGGGCAGGGGAAAAGCGTATTTCCCTGAAGCCAATACACTGAAATTCCCCGATGCTGCTCAGCAAGTGTGCAATCAGGATCCCTAAGAGGGTGGTCAATGCCACATGAGAGAAACCACACAAATCCCGGGAAGCATCTGTTACTGCCTAATAGGTTTTCGTCAGCTTCACATGCCTTTTAATGACACTTATCCATGAACTTTTCTTTCTTTATGTGTGGAATATGCGAATATGCACGTGTGTGTGTGTGTGTGTGTGTGTGTGTGTGTGTGTGTAAGGAGGACATTGTTTGGATGGTCTTTCCTATTTCTCTCCATCTTATTTCTTGAGAAAGGGTCTCTCACTGAACCCATGTCCTGCCATCTCAGCTAGGCTAGCTGGCCAGAAAGCCCCCCGAATCTCGACTTCTCTCCCTCTAGGGTTATAGACATGTGCCACTCTGATGGCTTTTAGGTAGATTTTGGAGATTTAAACAGGTCCATATAAGTGCGTAGCAAACGTAATACCCGCTGAGGTTTTTCCACACACTGAAATTCTGATTTTTGAATTTAAAAAGTTCAACAAGTCTTTCTGCCTAAGACATCTGCATTGTCACCGAGAGCATCTTACTTCGCCATGTGGTGGCAATCCAAAGAAGAGGGGAGCGAGATACTGAGTAGGATTCTTCCATCTGTGTATGTCTCTCTCTGTGGTGTTCAGAAGGTTAGTGACATTGAAACTCAAAAGATAAAACAGGAAAGCGAGACAAATGTCCCCTTTATCAAAGTCACCAGAAGAAACTTTCACTTCTTTTGAGAAATAGCATCTTCCTCTGCAGCTTAGGTCAGCCTGAAGCTTGTTATCCTCCTGCCTCTGCCTCCTGAATGCTGAGATTACAGGCACGGGCTGCTGTGCCACCTGCGGAAAGGGGATGGTGTCTATGCAAGTCTTCAGAACTTCAAAACACAATTCCTTATAACAATGTAACACGAGACCTGTCTTCCCCACTTTAACATTAGTCTGGTAGAAAACCTGGGCAGTGTGTACAGCAATATGGGCCACTCATAAACGATGACCTACAGCTAGGACTTACCACCTTATGAAAAATATTAAAGATGGGAAATGACACACTTTTATAAAAGCACACATTAAGCAAAAATAGAAAGCTATTGGAATCATTCTTGTCCCACCATGCTTCATAACATCTCTTTGTATGTTCCACACACTATGTTCACCACACCAATGCTCTGCCCAAGGTTACAGTCTCGTTATATATAGACAGCTAGACTATGGCTCGGAGAAGCTGATTTCAATGCCCAAGGTCATCATTGTGCTATTTCAGAGGACGATTCCAGCGCCCTTGACAAGACACACGTCCATATCTTCCTTCCTGAGACAGTTATGGTCCTCGGGTTATCACTTGTTACTTGTTCTTTGTGCTCATGGACTGATCACCCCGGACTGGCTCGTTATCTGTCAGTATATAGCCTACAGATGGGCTCTTTTTCTTTCCCTCTGCCATGGGAAATACAAACAATGCTTTACCTACAAGCAACACACCAGCTCTCAGGGTTTGTCTGAACTTCGAGCCTTCTCCGATTTTCTGAAGGCACTGGGCGAAGTGATGCTTCATCTCCTGGTGAGAAACAAATGAGTTCACCCCAGGAGGTCTGACCTCAGACAGCCAGTTTGTAAATTCACTACTCAGCTCCCAGGGAGAAAAACCTTCCCCAGACGTTGCTGGGAAGACTGGCAACATAGGGAATGAGTGTTAATCCCCTGAGCCACAGAGTCTGGCTCCTACCCTAAACTATTGCATTCATAAGGAGGCTTCAGATATGACGAATTACCTCAAGTTGAAAACTGATGCACACTTTTATTTTTTTAAAAAGGGAAGCCCTTAATTTGAAATGATGGTGACTCAGCGCTCAGGTATCTATCCGTCCAGTATTTACTATGTGTTCTGAAATTTGTTGGGCACCGGGAGGGATAAGCCAGAGCAGTCCCTGCTCGCAGTGAAATTGCGTGTTCCCAGAGTCTTTCTCTCTTATTTCTTAGAAAAACAGGTAGCGAAGGTACCTTTGAGGGGCTTTTCGATTTGAGTTACCACCCAAGAAATCTAAAAACGAAAACAAACACCACTGTCTTAACAATACAGGGTGCATGCTAGCTGGTTTTACCTGGTTGATACAAACGTAGCCGGGAAGAGGGACTCTTGGCTGAGGTGTTCCCTACATCAGATTAGGTCGTGGTTGTGTCTATGGGGGACGTTTTCTTAATTGTTAATTGATGTAGGAGGCCCCAGTCCGGAGTGGGCAGGTGTCATCCCTAAACACAGGGGCCTCCTCCGCTATATAACAAAGGAAGCTAGCTGAGCCAGCCAGAAGGAATGAGCTGTAAGCAACGTGCCTCCAGTTCGCGGCTTCAGTTCCTATCCTGGCTTCCCTTGATGATGGACTGTAACCTATTAGCCAAATAAACTCTTTCCACCCAAGACACTTTAGGTCACGGTGTTTATCATTGAAAGAGAAGTGAACTGGGACATTGAATGTCAAATATTTTTTGATATTTCACCGTTTCCCTCCAGGCTATTATTTATAGTACTTGATATCTAAAACACTTAAGGCCAAGCTTGCTGAAGAAATGGGGGAAAATGATGGCGCATAATAAAATGAAAGCAGGCACGTGGCCACATGCTTGGGAAGGAGAAAGTCCAGCTCCAGATGCGGGCAATGAAGTGCGCTTGCTTTTTTGCATTAAGTCCCATAGGGCCTAGAATGCTGATCCTCCTGCTGCTAGAGAAACTGTTCACCAGTGTGACGAAGGGGATGGAAAAGCAACAAACAATCTTTAACAAGTTACAACCTTATGTTCAAGTTCAATGTTCCCTTTTCCTTCTCCAAGTATGGCTTGGTCTTTGCTGCAAGGACTTTCTGCTTCAAATAGTCTTCTCACTCAGTGACTCATCTCTACCAGACTGTCATCCTAACACGTCACAGAAGCCCCAAGCAGACATCTTCCTCACCTCTGAGTCTGTCTTGTGGACCTTTACTTTACTTCGAGTGTGTCAGCTTTTGAAAGGCAGGGCCGACTTGGTCATTGTTCACAAGATAGTCTTTTGGCTGTGCCATCCCAAAGCTAATACATAAGAAGGTGGGAAGACTCCCAAAGAGGCTCAGATGCAGGGCCATGATGGTACTGCTGCAAAACTATTGCAGGTTGTTCAAAGACTTCACAAGAAAAGGAAAAAGTACCAGGTTTTGAAGTTAAGTAATTAAAACATTTGCAATCAAGGGTTGAGGATTTCGGTCCCCTAGGCTCCTTCTAAGCATTCTCCCCAGTGACTTCTTCACCATCTCGCAATACAGACGGGTGGCTTTGCAGCTTCACCCAAACCCCTAATTATCAATGCTCCCCTCTGCTTTTTGCGTCATCATGAGTATTTTAAGCAGGTGTAAAACCATCACCTCCCTGTTTTGTCTTCCACCTTTCATTACCAGTAACCACCTTGACTTTAAAGTATTTACAGGTCATTTGTCCTACATATTAGTCCACTAAATATATCATCCTAGTAGTTAGGGCATCAAAACACACACACACACAACACTAAGAGACCTTTTGCAGAGACATGGTTATTTTGTATTGGTTTAGTATCCCTTTCAATAAACTCTTTAAAACAGAAAAAGGTATTAACTTTCGAAGCTAAAGGAGATCTAAAAGGCTGAATACACAAAACGCAGTATTCCATATAAATGAGCTGCAGGCCATAAGCACCGACCCAGGGTTTTTGTGAAGCAACTTTTCTGTCTTATAACATTTAGGAAACCAGACAGAAGTTTCTTTAGCTAATACATGTCGTGTAAAGCGTGAGTCAGTTTACGTTAGTGCTGTCCAAAGCTGCTAAAGCACACAGTTAAAGCAAACAAAGAGAATGAAGTATACAAAGCTATCTTTTAACCTTACGCCAATGGAGTGTTTCCACAGATATCGGATATAAAAAAACAACAGAAGGCATTGAAGCATAAAGTCACTCACATCAAGGGAGCCTTCATTTATAACAATCATCCCCATGTTCTTCTTCAGAAGTCTGCAGGAGTGTCCTAGGCACACAATAAACAAGCACCATTAGTCTTTCAGGAAAGAAGGGACGCTTAGAGAGCAAGGGTATGATCAAATACCGAAAGAGCATCTTTACAGAGAGGGAAGGGTTATCAGCTGTTTCTCAGACTAACAGGAAGTTAAAGATGAAACACTCTCATTGGCCATCAGGAAGGGTGTGAGATAAGGACGACATTTGCAGCTGCCTTGATAAACAATATGGAACAACCGAGTTTAGTGTTTCCACATCCTGAAGGCTGCCAGGCATATGCACTGTATCCTTTATGGTGGCCAATATGAAGGGTAAAGGCCGGGCCAGCAGGTGTTTGCAGAGAAGGATCCGGAGGCTGGGCGACTCTCTTGGACCTGCTGTCCTCACTATCTCCCTGTCTTGGATGGTAGTGACATCATTTTCTTGCCCTTCTTACCTGACTCATCTTACACTAGCAAAAATTATACGAGCATTGTTTACACTCGCTGTCGCTATCCTCTCAGTGCCTTGCTCAGCCATCATCAGAGCAGCTTCCTCCCGTAGCAGATGGGAACCAATACCATAGCCACAACAGTAGCCAGACATTATGCGGAGAATGAGAGACTCTGAAACACTCAGCCCTAAACGGGATGCCTCCATTAAACCCTTTCCCTTAGGTCTCAGGGAACTCTGGAGAAGAGGAGGCAGAAAGGGTGTACAAGCCTGACGGGATGGAGGACACCAAGGAAACAAGGCCTTCTAAATCAACAGGATCTTTGTGCATGCGAACTCAGAGGCTAAGGCAGAATGCACAGGGCCTATACCGGTCTGCACCAGATGGGGTCCTAGAGATGAAGAAAGAAGCAGACACATGCCCCATTTTTAATCCAAAAGTGAGCTCCAATTGGTAACTACTTGCCAATGAAAAATTAGTTTTTTTCCAAGGGAGTCTCACTGGGGAAGGCCGCATAGATGCCCAGCAGTAGATGGCCAGTAGAAAACAGACTCAGTGGCATCTTTGGAGATTCCTGTCTCATAATGTCATGGCAGGGCTTAAGAGTTATTTTTAATGTTCCTCTTTAATTTTATTTATATATCTTCTCTCTTTTTATCCTACAGGTCTTTCACGTATAATTTATAGTTTCCAGTTCAGGTGTGTGAACGATTGGGTCTCCGCATCTACATGTTTCTTGTGCCTCTTCTTGGGCTCTTTCCCCTCTGTTTTGTCCGATTCTAATGTGACAGTTTTTGTTTTATCTTATTATTATCCCCTAGAAGGCTGTTTGTTTCCTAATGAGAGATAGAAGGGGGCTGGATTCAGATGGGAAGGAAGGTGGAGAGAAACTGGGAGGAACAGAGACAGGAGAAACTGCAATCAGGATGCGAGAAAATTTCTATTTTCAAAAGAAGAAAAACAATTAAAAAATTGGAATACCAGCTACCTCTCATCATTGCCATTTGGTCAAAGCCACCATTACACGCCCTTGGGTCACTGTGGCAGCGTCCTCACTGACTACTCTGCTGCTTTACTGGCTTCTTAAGACTGACGTCACTCTGCACTCAGTCTGTGGCCACAGGAAGCCCATCACATCTCTCCCTGTGGAACAACATCCTATGTCTTCCCTGTCACGCAGAGCAAACCCAGAGGCTTTTCAAGGCCTGGCACTGCCATCCTGTCTGGCTCCCCCCTCAGCACCGGGGCTTGCTCTGCAGCAGAGGGCAATCAATACCTTGCTACCCACAGCAAACTCCTCCTCCTCTTCCAGGTCTTTCCTCAAATGTCACCTTCTGCAAGTTCTTCCTGATTTCCCTCTGTGCAATGCCCTTTCTCCTCCCATATGACGTGTGTGTGTGCGTGCGCGCGTGCGCACACACATGTATGCACATGTATGCACATGTATGCACGTGCATGCACATGCATGCACGTGCATACAGGGCTAGAGGCTGACCACGAGTACCATCCCTCAAGTGCCATCTACCTCTCACTGGTTTGGAGCTCACCCAGTAGGCCAGGCTGAGCCTGTGCCTGCTCATTGCTTGAATGCTAACCTAAAAAAATTCAATAAATAAAATCTCTACTACTTACACGGACTTTGTGATGGCTATTCCTGGCTGTCAACTTGACTCCATCTGGAATTAATTAAAACCCAAGCAGCTGGATACACCTGTGAGGGACTTTTTTTTTTCTCAATTAAATCATTAGAAGTGGGAAGACCCATGTTTACTATGGATCATTTGAGGTAGGAAGATTTCACATTTAATCTTGGCCATATAGTCTACTGGCAGCTTAGATGAAGGAAATGGAAGAAGGAAGCTTTTTGCCTGCTTGCTCTCACCCTTGATAGCAAGTTCACTGCTTTACTGACATCAGAGCCCACTTCTTTGGGATTCTCTTATGTACTGAAGACCTATGGCAACACCCAGCCTTGTGGGCTGGACTGAACAACTATGAGTTCTTGGACTCTCCATTGGTGGACAGTCATTGTTGGACTAGTTGGACCACAGTCTGTAATGCATCTTAATAAATTCCTATTTATCTATATATCTGTGTCTCTAGATCTAGAGGAACAAAACTTTAAGAATGAATATATATACTATGAATATATATTTATTATATGTAACATATATAATACATAATGATCATAGAAGAATTATGTATACATATAAATATAAACATATACACATATTCATTCTACAAATTCTGTTCCTTTAGAGAGCCCTAATACAAATTTACTATATGTTTATGGTATAATTTTTATATTTTAAGGACAATTTAGGGTGACTGCTAAAACTAAAATGCACTATTAGCTAAATGTACTTGAGATGAAGAGATCTTAACAATAAGGGTGTGGTTCCAGGCTGTGCATAACATGCATGTTCAGTTCTGGGGAGTTTCGTATGTAATGTGCATGATCAGTATATAGAAGTGAATCTACATCTTACAGTGTTTGGGCTATCCATCCACGGTTACTGAACCTGGAAAAAAGATTCTTCCTTTTCCATATTATTAGCATGACAGGTTCTGAACAACACCAAATACTTTCCTCTTTGTGAGACTTGTATTACGAAAATCACATTTTGTCTCCTCCATCCTCAAATGTATGTGCTGAAGCCTTGACTCTCGCCACTGTGGTCTGCACATGGACATGGCCCTTTAAGGCGGTGATTAAAGTTAAATGAAGTGGCCTGCTATGGTCTGTGTAGTCTTATATCGCCTCAAATTTCAGTTTTTTATTCCCCAAAAATGTGAGAAATACATTTCTGTTGCTACCTAGTCTGTGATACTCTCTTATAGCAGCTTGAGGGGACTAACACAAACATTTTGCAAAAAATTAGCAACTGACTGCAGAATGAAAGTGAACTGACAGCCATGTGTTCAGAACAACTTCTGGCCACAACAAGTACATCTGGCCCATAAACACACCACTGGTCCAGTTTCTAGACTTTGAAAGACAGCTGCAGAAACGTTACATTCATAGGCCACTGATGGATCGAACGTTCCTCCAGCAAGATGCAGCGTCTGAGAGTGCATGCGTGGTTGTAGGAGCTGGTGTGGCAATACACAAAACCACTGCAACTTTAAAGGGGGGCATTGGGGCCACAAGTAAACAAACAAGTGAGCCTAATAACATTACGCATTGAGAGCCTTGGGATATCACGTCTTAAAATATCTTGTTATGGAGGAGAGGTGGCCTCCTCCCGTGTTCTCTCTGACCCCAGCTATAGCGGCGTTCTCAGCTCTTGTGTTCCAGAAGAATTCACACTGGGGGACAGGTGTAGCAAGCAAGGTGTCAGGGTTTATTTCAGCAGGTGAGAAAGCAGAAGTGGGAAGTGCGTTCTCTCCCCAGAAGGTGGCTCGGTTGAGTGAAAGGCACAGGGAGACTCTAGCCCTTGGACTAGGTGTCTTGGTTAATAGCGTCTACTTCTCTTACCATCAGTCTGTGTTAAGTTCCCAGTGCTGTGATAAATACCTTGACCTAAAGCAACTTGGGGACGAGGCAGGAACTGAAGCAGAAGTTGTAGAGGAACACTGCTTACGGGCTTGTTCCCCATGGCTTGCTCAGTTAGTTTTCTTAAATTATTTAGGACTGTGGGCCAGGGTAGCAACTCCAGCAGGCTAGGCTCTCCCACATCAATCATCCATCAAGAAAATGCCCTACAGCCTTGTCTACAGACAAACTGATGGAGGCGGTTTCTCAAGCAATGTACCTCCAAAGTCAGAAGTTTTTCTTTGGGCTGCCAACCAGCTCCCAAATGAAGACACAGAGACTTGTTTTTAGCTATGAATGCTTGGTCTTAGGCTTGTCCCATTAGCTCTTTTAACTTAATTGAACCTGTTTCTATTTATCTACATTTTGCCTCAGGGCTTTTAACCTTTCTTTCATTCAGTATGTCCTACTTGCCTGCCATGTGTCTGTCTGTCTGGCTTCTTGTGTTTCCCTGGTATCTCTTTTTCTTTCTTCTCTTCGAGCCTAAATTCCTCCTCCTCCTTACTCTTCCTGCCCGAAGTCTCTCCTATACTTTCTCCCTCAATACTGGCCATTCAGCTTTTTATTAAACCAATCAGTGTCTTAGGCAGGCAAGGTAAAAGAGCAACACATCTTTCCATAGTTAAACAAATATTCCACAACATCCCTCTTCCCAGATAACTCTACCATGTGTCAAGCTGATACGAAACTAGCCAGACACCACCCTTGGGACAGTCTGACATAATCTCCTTTCTGGAATAGGAAGAGGCTTTCTTAGAAGATACCCTTTCACACATTTCAGTCTGTTAGAATTAAGTACATTAGATATAAAAATTCACATAAAGTTGAGACATTCTCTAGGGAAAAGGGCAATGATGTCATGTACCTGCTCCAGGTCAGGGGGTGGGGCTCCTTGCAAGGGATCCGGGGTCCACTGAGACTGGCTCTGTTGTTTTTCCAACAGCCCTGTTCTTCTTGAATCTGTTCAGATTAACTATCTCCTGACGAAAGTCCCTGTCTTCAGTGTCCTCAGCCTCAGGGTTTTAATACATCTTTCATTCATCTTATTAAAACACACTGGCCTGTTAGAAGGTACCAGGATTTAAAATTGGAGTGGGGTGAATTACCAATATTGATGGCAGTTTCTTGCTTGTCCCCAGTCAGGATCCATATTTTGATGTCAGCTTTCATGAGAGTTTCTATAGTTTCAGGCACCTGGTCTTGTAATTTATCCTCGATGGCTGTAGCTCCAAGTAGCTGAAGATTCTGGGGGGAAAAAGTGTTACAGATTTAAAGGGGAAAACTACTTTATTGGTTAAGAACAAAATGTGAAATATGTTCAAATCAGAGACAAAGGTAACTCAAGGATTTGGGCATAAATCCCAACTATCCTGTTGTTTTCTTTCTTAAGGATCCTTGACTTTAATCCCATTGTTTTTGGCTGAGAATGACATTCCCTGAAGCTGGATTACTTAACTCTTTCTAAAGTAAGGATCTGATTCATAAAATGAAAACAAACCTAAACCTCCACTCCCCAGATGAGGGGCACCAAAAAGTCGGCTAAAAAGGAGTAGGTGGCTACTGGAAACAGATCAGGGAGAAACGATCTGGACCTGTTTAAAAAGAGATTAAATTTCACTTTGATGCAATATCAGGAAACACACACCAACAGAACCGAACATGGCAAGGAGGTGGGAACAATAAGCTGAGCGACAGCATGAGTCTCTAAGAAAACCCAGTTTGAGTGTTTTCCTTGTGGCTTTAGATTTGTGTGCTGGAAGGTGAGATCATCACAGGACTCTAGCGTATTGGGCGCTATCTTTCCCATAAAAGCTAATGTAGCGAATTGATTCATACCTCAGGGATGCCGCGAGTTTTGATTCTGAAATACCACAATTGTGGTGGTTTGAAAGAAAATGGCCCCCAAAGGGAGTGGCACTATTAGGAGGTATGGCCTGTTGGAGTATTTAGGGTCTTGTTGGAGGAAGTGTGTCATTGTGGAGGTGGGCTTTGAGGACTCCTATGTGTTCAAGCCACGCCCAGTGAGACAAACCACTTCCCCTTGCCTTGCAGGTCACGATGTAGGACACTGGGCTCCTCCTCCAGCCCCAAGTCTGCCTGCACACCACCAGGTCTCATTATGATAATAATGGACTAATCCTCTGAAGATGTAAGCCGCCCCAATTAAATGTATTTCCTTTATAAGACTTGCTGTTGTCGTGGTGTCTCTTCACAGCAACAAAACCCCTAACTAAGATAACAACAGTCAAAGGCCTAATGAAGCAAGTCACATGAACTTTTTGCTTTTTTTCAGTAAATATATCTTATGCCTATACTACACTTTATATATATATACTATATATATATAGTATGTAATACCATCATGTACGAAAAAACAATGCAAGTATTTTAATTCAAAATGCTTTATTGCTAAAAATGTTAATGGTCACCCGAGCCTTCAGGATCAACATGTTTTTACCAGGGAAGCATCTGGCCTTGATTGATGCTGATAGCTCCTGACGCATCAGCTGAGGAGGCTTGCCAATTAAAATAATACAATGAGATCTGCCACGTGGTCAATTGATCCCATGCACCATTTTCTCGGCAGCATGCAATGCTGTTTGACAGCCTTTTATCCACAGTCGAACTTTTTCAAAGTTGGACTCAGTCATCTCAAACCTTGCCACTGTCTTCCCAAACAAGTTTCTAGAACATTCTAAATCTTCTGCTATTATTTCAACAGTTTTCATAGCATCCTCCTTGGCAATAGATCCCACTGCAAGAAAGCAGTTTTGCTTTGTTTACTTGTGTTTTTCCCCCCCTCATCCATTAAAGTTTTATCATATGACTACAGAAATTTAGTTGCAGCCTCTAGTTCTTTTGCTATGCCCACCACATATGCAGTTACTCCCTTCCCGGAAGTCTTGAATCCCTGAGAGGAATCTCTGAGGGCTGGAACCACCCTTCTCCATGGTCCTTTAACGTGTTGTTATTTTTCCCTCATCCAGTGAATTCGATCTAGGCATCTAGGATGGTGAATTGTTTCTGAAAGGCTTTCAACTTACCCAGAGCCATCAGAGAATCACTACTACACCCACATCCTTTACAGAAAGTATTTCTTGAGTAATAAGCCTTAAAAGCCGTCCTTGCTCCTTGATTTGTGGGCTGCAGAGTGAATGTCGTGCTGGCAGGCATGAAAACATTAATCTTCTTATGTTTATAAATCTGTTAAAATCATTGGCTGACCAGGTGCACTGTCAATGAGTAATAATATTTTAAATTATTTTTTCCCCAAGCTGTATGCCTCGGTAATGGGTATCAAATGTCCAGCACGCCATGTTAGAAACAGATATGTCACCCAGGCTTTGCTGTCCAATATACAGAATATAGGCAGAGAAGATTCACTGTAGTATAACCCTCAAAGGCCCAAAGACTTCCAGAATGGCAAATGAATACTGGTCTACCTTAGCTACCAGCTGAATTGTCCCAGTATGTCCCTTAGAAGTCAGGCACTGATTTCTACTCTCTAGCTATGAATGTTTTGGGTGGCTTCTTTTTCTGATTAGAAGCTCGCTTGATCCTCCCTGAAAATCTGTTTGCTGATATAGAAGTCTTCATCAACTATTTCTGCTAGACCTTCTGGATACCTTGTTGCAGCCCCTGCAACAGCATTTGGTGGGTGACTTGGAACATCATGTATGGAGATGGCCTCTTCATTTAAAGCACTTGAGTCAGCCTGTTGGCTTTGAACTCCTCTCCTCACCCCTATCTGCCTTCACAGAATTGAAGAGGTTAAGAGCTGTGTTTTGAGAGTGAGAATTCTATGACACGGACCCACCCATGCCAAGAGCTTGCTTTGAATTAGGCTTTGGCTCAGAGGAAAGCTTTAGCAGGTTTGATCTCCTAACAAACCACAAAGACGGTCTCCACATCACTGTCAGGATATTGTTTTGCTTTTGTATCATTCATGTGTTCATTGGAACTGGACTTTAGCTTCCTTTAAGAATGATAGTCACAACTTGGCTATCTGGTGAGAAAGACCAACTTTCAGTCTTTCTTGGCTTTAGATATACTTTCCTTGCTTAGTTTAATAGTCTCCAGCTTTTGATTTAAAATGAGAGACACCCAACCCTTCCTTTTGCTTAAGTATTTGGATGTGACAGCAGAGTGAATCTACTTCCAATATTGTAGCTCAAAGAATAAGGCCCATGGAGAGGGAGGGAGATAGAGGAATGGCTGGCGAATGGAGCCATGAGAACACACACGTTTATTAAGCTTATGGTGTTTCAAAACAAGTACAACAGTGAAGGGTTACTGAATACAGATTATCAGAAGAAATGCAATAATCAAGCCAGGTCTGGTTATTACGCAACATCTCAAGAACCTCGAGGGACTGAGGAAGGTGAGGGGCTATAGCTATAAACGTACCATGCAAGCACCCTTCATACACTTGTTCCTCTGTGTGTCCCTTGTGGAAGAGGCTATTGATGGGCTAATTTAGCACTCAGTCCCACCCATCCGTCTGCCTTGGCATATCCACCATGGAGGCTAGAAAAACTAAATGCATAATTAGTTTTTCTAAATGCATGGCACAGCGAAGCCAAACTCAAAGTTACTGCTTCTTTTCCCTTTCTGCTCAGAGTTCAGCTAACTCTTACACGTTTTCATGTACCATACAGACTGAACACGTACCATGGAAAAATCTGAAATGACATACAATCTGCATGTGTTTGAGCACCAACAAGATACCACAAGCGGGGAGGAAATCCTATACATGACCTCAGGTAACAGGTGGCAGTCAAAGTGTAGGTACAATAAGATGCGGACAGTTATAACACAAAATTACTTTCAGACTTGTAAGTGAGGGGGTATATGGAAGAAATGAATTCCTTATTTAGATTTGGGTCTGATTTCTGAAGAATCTTATTATGTAGATGAAGTTCCAAACCTGGGAAGAAAACCAAACCAAACGAACAACAAAAACAACAAGAACCAACTCTGAAACACTTTCGGTCCCGAGCATGTCTGTGTTACCACCAGGTGTTAGAATGTGGGACTCGGGAAGGCTTTGCTGAAATACAGCATCACATCATTTATCTTTGCATCCAAAAGACATTGAGAGTAAGCACTGGGTATGTTCACTAAGTGACAAACAAGACAGAATCCAAACCCAAATGTTCCACAATATTGCTACCACTGAGACCTCTTTATTATCAGTATGTTCCAAGTCCCCTGAACAGCTATCAGACATACCTGGTATGTGACATTTAGTATATGACACAGAAAATGAGAAGACGTATCTCCTTTTTTTTTTTTTAAAAAAAAGAAGACAGTATTATTTTATAATCTCTAATAGGAAGCAGATTTGAAATCTATCATACCCCGATGAATACTTATCACCGAGGTCAAGGAGAAGAGGCAGAAAGGCTCCCTGTCAGCGAGGCAGCATCACTGTTGCTGTATCCCAGCGTGCGCACAGTGCCTCCATCAGCTCTTGCATCTACTTTAAGGCATTTGCAGTTACATCATTCCGGATCACATTCTCTCGAGGATAAAGATAGAGCTGTGTTCAAATTTAAATTTTCTATGGGGGCTTGATAAGGTCTTTTAATAATCACAGAGATTGTTCAGAGACAAAGCCTTGAAAGTTTCTAAACTAGAAAAAGATTACCTTTCGTAATGTGTTTCACAAAACACTGGGTAACTAGATAATTGGTGTGAGTCAAGATACGGGACACAGCCATGAGAACTGTATAAACACACACATTTGTGTAGTTCCCAGCTCTACTCTCGGGGGGGGGGAAAATGAGCTCAGAAAGTATATAGGTACAAATTACCACACACAAAGCTATAAAAATAAAATGACTTCACCGGAGAGATCATGAAGAAATCCTGTTTGAAAAAAGGCAAGAGTCTGGTTTTATACGGCAAAGGAAAACATTTTAACCTAAGCACAAAAAACATAAAGAAACAGGGATGTAGGGCCAGTCAGGTATGTGGGGAAAGGTGGTAAGCAGGCCAGTATGGTGTGCGGACGGTGGCTGTTCTCACAGGAGTTTCTACAGGTGTCATGACCAGTTCTGAGCCTTCAGCAAAACGACAGTGGTCCTAACCCAGGTGTGAAGACACACTACACCCCAGAGGCTGCTGTGTCCCTTTATCCTGAGTGTCCTGAGCACGGCAGTCCCCACCGTGAGTGGAGGGCTCTGCAGACGCCTTTCCTTCCTCTCCGCATTCATTGTGAGATTAGGATCTTGAGTGATAGG